CTGATAACACCAAGGCCACGGGTTTGGATCCTATATAGGGATGGCCGGTTTGCTCACTGGGGGAGCATGATGCCAACAACACCAAGTCAAGGGTTAAGATCCCCTTACCGGTCATCTTTTGGAAAAAAAAAAAAATGAAATGAAAATATCAGAATGATCTCATAATTTATGAAATCTATCTATTCCCTAAAAGGGCCCAGAAGCAGTGATACCACAGTAGCACACACATCTTGATTTCCAAATGCCATTCCCCTTGAAAAGAAACCAAGGATTTTGGAGAAATAGCCAATTCCCAGTACGGGGCAGGAAAAATAATATATAAGCCTAGAACATCTTGCTATGGCAAAAAGCAAGGAAGTACTCAAAAGACTGATGGTTCAAATGACCCATGAACTAGCTTAAAGGATCATATCTGGAAGTAATTAAAATAGAATTTAAAAAATAAATCCGTAAGTATACATTGATACTCAAAGAAAGTGAGTAGAGGGAGGAAAGTGCTTCCTTGTAGACAAATGTCAGCTAATAAATGTAGATGGAAGACTAGGCTTACAGAAAATTCCAACTTGCAAACCATCAATATAATAAAATAATCGATTTAGGCAATCCATTTAGCATCCATGAATGATTTTAGCATTCCTTGAAGCCAAATGGATTTGTTTTAGCACTCATTGATGCTAAATGGATTGATGCTAGGTGGACCAAATGGTCTCCCCAGTATCTCCTCCCACATTACCTGTCTAAGAAAAAAAGATATTTTACAATGAAAAGACCCGAAAGACACCAAGCGATCAAACTTAGCACCAGCAATAATATGACAATAGTATTATGTGCTTCCTTATATGATGCAATGAATGGGACACAAAACGTACCATCTATGTAGTCTTCTGCCAAAATGTTTACCCTGAAATTATACTCATGATAAACATTCAAACATTCTTACAAGCTAATTGGCCTGATTTTTCAAGTGTCAATTTCATAAATCAAAAAAGGTCGGAGGATTGTTCTAGAGTAAAAGTGACTGCACATACATGACAGTCAAATGTCATGGTTTGGGATCCTAAATTTTNTGGTCTCCCCAGTATCTCCTCCCACATTACCTGTCTAAGAAAAAAAGATATTTTACAATGAAAAGACCCGAAAGACACCAAGCGATCAAACTTAGCACCAGCAATAATATAGCAATAATATGACAATAATATTATGTGCTTCCTTATATGATGCAATGAATGGGACACAAAACGTACCATCTATGTAGTCTTCTGCCAAAATGTTTACCCTGAAATTACACTCATGATAAACATTCAAACATTCTTACAAGCTAATTGGCCTGATTTTTCAAGTGTCAATTTCATAAATCAAAAAAGGTCGGAGGATTGTTCCAGAGTAAAAGTGACTGCACATACATGACAGTCAAATGTCATGGTTTGGGATCCTAAATTTTTTTTGAAAAAAGGAGAAATGCTTTAAAGAACATTTTAGGGAAAACTGAATATAGCTTAAATGTTTAAAATTCAATGTTAAATGTTAAGTTTCTTGGGTATGATAACTATTATGATCATGTAGGAGAATGTCAAGTTTTAAGAGATACATGCTGAAGTAATGGGTAAAGTACGATGGCACTTCTTTCAAAAGGAAAGTGCTGTATAGAGATGAAACAAAAGTGGCAAATAACAATTATTGGATAAAAGTAATGAATATATGATTACTTCACTGCATTATACTTTCAAGTTTTCTGTAAATTTGAAAATTTTCAAAATAAAAAGTTGGAAATGTAAAGAAAATTAATTTAAAAAGAAAAAATAGCTTACAGATACCACAAGGGTACATTTGGAGGCTTTAGCAAAGTACAATTTTAACCAAAATTGCTCTTAATTTTAACCAAACCCAATGAAAGACCAGAAGTGGTCAGAGGACAAAACTGAGGAATCAAGCTAAAATGGCAAACAAATTCCTAAACTTCCTTTTGCCTATTAATTTTGATATATTGGTGACAAGTAGTATAAAGGTGTTGGTGAGTGGGTTCTAATCCCATTAATCCATCTGATCAGCAAAAGACATAAAGGTAAAAGGCAAACATGTTTCCCTTCTAAATTATAATTCCAAGGGGGTTGGAGGACTGGCAGAAAAAAAAAAAAAGATAATTTTAAAAGTTAATATAAAAAAGAATGCATTGACTTATTTTGTAAAAAGTTGGCAGAATTATGAAACTAGATGTTTTGTCACCTAAATCTAATAAATATTTATAATTAGATATATGCAATTAGACTAGAGCACATATTGTTTTAAAATCTCCCAAACTCATGAGAAAAACATTGTCACTAGAGTGGTTGGTGTTTTATCTTTCAACCAAAAAACTATCCCACCAAGATTTTTTCTTTCCTTGAGCTTATTTTCTAATGATAGACATTGAATAAGCTCACACTGTTATTTCCACTATCAGTAGATAAAATGCTCCCCTAAATATTTAGCACTGTCTAAAAAGCTCTCAAAAATATGGTTGCGGGCCGGCCCGGTGGCGCACTGGATAGTGCGCCGCTTGGGAAGCACGGTGGCGCTCCCGCCCGAGGGTTCGGATCCCACATACAGACCAGTTCCCGCTCACTGGCTGAGCGAGGCGCAGGAGCAACACCGAGGGTTGCAATCCCGTTGCCGGTCCCCGGTCCGGTACGGGGGCAACACTGAGGGTTGCGATCCATTGCCGGACACGGAAAAAAAAAAGACAAAAAAAAAAAAATATATGGTTGCATCTCAAATGCTGCTGGCAGACTCTGCTGAATTAAGAACAGTACTGCAATTATTGTATAGCCATTAAAACTGAAAAAGTATTTTTACTCAAATGGTCAAGAGTTTATTGTAGAATATGAAATCAGCCTCCCCATTCCCATCACTTCCGTCTAAAATCCCAAAGAAATGCAGCAAAGTTAATGACTACATGGTGGGATAATCAAACTTTTAATTTCCCTTTACACATTATATTAACATTCATATTGCAAGGCATTCCATTCACAAAAATTACAGTTTGATAAAAACTTCACACACATCCCCCCAAAAGTCTATACCAGATTTAGTCACTTTACTAAATCATTAAAATAATAAAAGTAATGAAAACATTATCATAATTTTTTTAAAGCAGTAAGGTCTGAGGCACTCTGGAAAAGATGTTCTCTTACAAGTATAATGTGTCAGTGTTATCAAATTACATTACAAGGAAGTCATCACATACCCAGTAATCAAGTACACAAGAATGACAATGACTTTATGATCCGATGTGTCCTCATTGGATACACTCCTATTTGGACAACTGTTGAAAGGAGCATAGATATTCAGCAGCTAAAGTCATTTCTAATGAGGTTCCCCACTATGTAAAGATGAGGTGTGTTTGCAGCACACCAAGGACAGCTGCATCCCTACTGCAAGGTTACCAGTACTCAAAGTTCCTTTCTCACCATCAGGTTTACTAAATATTAGAATCTAAAAGCCCACCTGAGTTACTGTGCTCACAGCTGTAGACATTTTAGAATTCTTTCCCATCATCCTCCACAGTACAACCTCCGTGCTTCTGAGTATTGCCAATGTATGCCCTTGAAATAAAACAGATGGGAAGAAAGGGAGCTTTTTCCCCTCCTACTTCTGACCAAATAAAGGTCTGAAATAGCAGTGTATTACAAAATTCTCATGCCCTGCAACAGCCAGCCACCACCTGGAGCATGGCTACTTCTGGCATAAGCTAGACTTTTAAAAGCCTGATAACCTTCTTCCAAACTGAATTTTATCACACTCATTCACTGACAAACACACACAGTCCACATTGGAGAGAAAGTATCATTGAGTGCTTTCCTATGCACAATTACAAGGGTAAATAATTAGCAAGGAGTGGGGGACAGGACAATTCCCAACTAGGAATTAAATCATTGCAAACTATGGGTCCATTTATGATAGCATATAACCCCGTAGGAGCAGAATCAACACAAATCCCAGGTCACATAGTGTTCAGTAACTATGTATATGAAATTTAAAATGTATACATATTTCTATATAAAATTTTTTTAAAAAATCTGGAGCAACATATATTGCTAAAGTTTCAAGGATTCTCATCTTCAACATTCACCCAGGAAGCAGCTGGCTCTTGATGGCTGGTTTGTGGCAGTGATAAAAGCAACTAGAAGCAGGTTTAAGTAAAAGTGCTCAAAAAGCAAATGAGAAAACAGATGTGCAGAGATGGGGGGGAAGGACGGTGGCAGGGTGACTGAAAGGAGTTGAGCAATGTTCTCTTTATTCTTCTCAGCTTTCGCAAATCCAAGACAAGTTCTTGAGGACACATATCAAATGCTGTAGTCCTTTCTTATCTATAGTCAAAACAAAACAAGTGATAAAAAAAATTTCCTCTTCCTTTCTGTACTCTCAATAAAATGCATAGTACAGTAAGAAGGTATTATTGAGATGTGCCATCTCGGGAAAAATTAAAATTGGGACATGAAGTGAGGCCGTGCACTATCAAGTCGCCGGGTTAGAATTTCACAGCCAGTGTCCGTGACCAGCAGGGTGTGTTCAAACTGAGCAGACCGCTTTCCGTCTCTCGTCACCGCGGTCCAACCATCTGGCCAGGTTTCATCTTGCCAGCCGCCTTAAACAAATGAAAACAGTCTTAATTCAATCATTCCATTTTCTAAATAAACTCTCTAGGTAAGTATATCAAAAAGAAAATCTATTAGAAAATTCACTATTAAGATCCTTATTTACATTTCAACTGCGTTAGCTAAAACCTTTCCAACTTCATTTTGGTTCTTAGTACCAACAATGTAACGATGTTTAAATTTCCTCAGCTGTGTTACAACTTCACATTTTTTATATTTCCCAAATATCAAATCAAGTTGGCACTTCCAAAATAAAGGCACTGGATTTCATTTCAGAAAACTCATTGATACCCTCATTGATACCACTCATCACAGAACTATGAGTAAAAACTTGAATTAATAAACTTAGCTCTTCCCTGGTATAACTATGGCATCTGACTATAGCCAGTGTATACTGTGAAGGAAATAATGTAAGTTTTTATACTTTTATATAGCATTTAATTCTGATATAATTCTTAAGTGGCAGGCATATAATCAGATAGTGAGAACAGACTATCAAATTTTTGTTGACCATACTCTTGTAACCAGAAAGAGGGGGAAAGAGAAAAAAAACGGATTTGGGAGAGGATAAGAAAAATATGATGAGGCAGAAAAGGTTAGAGAGGAGTTGAAACTAGAGAAGGGAAGTGAAGGGACAGTGAGAAAAGCGACAGTGAGAAGAAAAGCTGGAAGACAGGAAAGCAAACCTGGGGGTGAAGGGGGGCATGCAAAGAAGGGAATGCGGAAAGGTAAAGCTCAAGAGAATCAGAGGCGGGAGTGGAATGAGGAAGTTAAGAAACTCTGGATACTGCTATAAAAATACATATTCACAGAGCCTTGTTTCAAAATTAGATGTCAAAAAAAAACCAATATATTCTTCATTTTCAGTAGTCTTTAGGTGAAATATATTACTTCTAGGCCTCACTCACTCAGACAAATCCCTGAACGTAAACTCTGTAGTGAAGTAACTTAGTTTTGTAATATTAAATCCCAGGCTAAAAAAAAATACGAGGCAGCTTAAAGAAAGTTAAATCATGCTTTGTCAAACACTTAAAAATCACTAAACATATGTTTAAATGTAATGACTTCTGCATACAAATGGATTTAAGACATATTACTACTTTGGATTTTATTGTGATCTGATAAAACAGGTTCTTTAGTAATGTCAAGTCAAACATATTTGGCTACTATTTAGAGGAAATTCCTCTTTGGATTTGAGACTTCATTCCAGAGCTGGGATTTAACATACTTGAGTTACAATGAAGTATATGTGTTATAATTTGATGATTATCTGAATCAGCTCTATACAAAGTTATTTGCTTACTCCCAGAAATACTACATTATGTTTCACCAGGCAGGAGCCAGTTAATGAAACTATGTAAGCAAAACGACACTTTCCTCCCCACTGTCTTTCCTTTCACTGCTAATATACTTACTGCCCTTAACAATTGACTGCACATGATCAAAACTTTATTCTTTTCCATGAGGATGACAAAAACACTACATTATATTTGTGCAGTCCTTTAAAGTATACAAGATATTTTATGTTACTATAAATCATCTCAATTCTTATAGCAGCCCTGGGATGTTGGGCAAGATAAGGATTATAATTTTCATTTTACAGAAAAGGCAATAAAGAATCAAGTTAAGAAGCCAGACTCTAAAGTGACTTCCAATGATCCCCACCTCCTGGTATTCACGCCCTTGTGTGAGCACCTCCTCTCCTTGTGTGGGCTGGATTTAGTGACTCACTTCTAAAGACGAGATATGAAAGTCACTCCCAAGACCAGGTTACAAAAGGACTGGAAGGATCCAGAGAGGAGGTATTCTCTAATACAGGGCTCAGGACACACAAGCCCTACTACTACTGCCTCACTTTGCATCTCCTACTCCCCACAAAGAACTAGCGGGAAGCAAGCTCCTGTAATTATAACTGCTCTGACAGTCTCAGTGAGGAGCCCTAATCATGACAGAGTCCACTATCACTGCTGCATGCCTGTCACAGGGACAACAACAGTGGCAACACAGAGGCTGGCTGCCAGAGCTAGGTGAGTATGTGCTGTGCTTTCTCCACAAGAGCTGTATAATGCAGTACATGAATGCAGTACCCCAAAGAGTCGGGACAGCCTGTGAGTGGAGAGTCTGACAAATTCTGCCATATAACTAGCTAAGTGATGCAGGCAACTCAAGGATCAGTTTATTCCGTATACTGCCCTGTATAATGCTCCTCTGGATATCACCTACCTCATAAATTAAGGAGAATGAAATCATATAACTGTGTCTGCCTCCAAGGGGGTGGTTCAACAAATGCTCTACTTTTTCCCTCCTCTTTCCCACCCTACATTAAATAAAAACTTCTACATAGGCTTGATATAGGTTCCTAATTATTACAATGCACCCTTTGACAGGATCTTTAGGGACCAGGATTCAAGTACTTCAGCATCTACTGACAGCAGGAGAATTACCATGCAGAGAGCATTACTTTCTTGCCAACCCTTACAGTTTTCAGTTCTCTACATGATCCTGTATCAAGTTCAAGATGGGACAGGGAGTGGGAATTAAGCAAAAAGAAGGCAAGTAGAACAGATCACTGATCTTGAATGACCAAAAATAAATAAAAAGTCAATTAAAGAATGTTACAACATCCTTTTTTCTCACCTTCACAAATCATTGGCTCAATTGTAAATACATGGCCCGACTTCATCACTCCAACTGCTTTATTTTCTGAAATTAAACAAAAAAAAATCTTAAAAGACAGCAAAAATCAAGAGTGTACTGTTGAACAGCTCCCTAGAAAGAGTACACAACTTATATTCCCATCAGTGATTCTTAAAGTAATTATTCTCTCCTGATTCTCTTTCTTAAAGTATAACATTCAACAAACAGCTATTATACTGATAACACCTACACTGGGGCAGATATTGTCCTAGGCACGTTTCTTTCTGCTCATATTTTCTCTAGGAAAACACAGAGATATCTGTAGGCTGGATTTCAGATATGATTATCACTTCTATAAAAGGAAAAGAGCTGCATGATTAGAATTACAATCACGAAACCAAGCAAAGTTCCATTACTCATACAATTACAGAAGTTTAAAGAACAACAACAAACGTTTCTGATTATGTCAGGGGTCTCCCACCTCTCTGGTGGTGCGTGTGTGTTTGTGTGTAGGGGTATATGCTATAAAGTTTTATAAATTGTTTCCTTTTTCTCATTTTCAAAGGGGAACAAAGCTTCTGTACACTAACCAATTTTTTTAAAATGCTGAATAGATTACTCCTTTTTATTTGAAATCAAATTCCATTTCTCCTTCCAAATACTATTTTAGTTTTTCTGTCCAAGTTCACTAATTCAAGAACATTTTTCAGAACCATTATGAGAAACACAATTATGAGTTAAAGTGTCCGAACTTGCTATCTCCCCAAAAAGGTCAAAAATTTTAAAATAGGAATATATCTTTTTAGACAATCTCATAGAAAAATAGAGAACTAGTTTAAATTTCAAATTAAAAAACAAGGACTGATAAAAATACCAGCTAAAGGGAATGAGTGCATTTGCTCTGCCTGACCACCAGATGTCAAACACATCAGCCCTTCCAGGTTCCTTTGTAAGGCTGCTGGTCATCAGGATGTAACTTTCGTAATGAATGGTCAATGTGTCCACTTAGGTTGAGTCTACTAAACTCCAATCTTTCTAGGTATGGTCTAACCTCACCTATACTATTCCAGCACATTTTTCCTGTTGAATAGCTATTATGCTGCTTTCCACTATCTTAGGTATTGCCAAAATACACTTAGTGCAGATTCCAAATCTGGAGTTTCTAAATTAAACTGTTATAAAATCTGAAGGGTGGGGCCGGCCCGGCGGCGCACCGCTACAGTGCACTGCTTGGGAGCGCAGCGGCGCTCCCACCGAGGGTTCGGATCCCACATACAGACCGGCCGCTCACTGGCTGAGGTGCAGGCGCGACACTGAGGGTTGCGATCCGTTGCCGGACATGAAAAAAGACAAAAAGGGGAAAAAAAAAATCTGAAGGGTAAAAAATAAAAATCTGACTTTTCATTTCTAACCTCACAAACTTTCTCTCAAAATGGATGCAATTTACTACATATACAGAATTGGTCTATATTCCTTTGGAGATATCAAAAAGATAATGTCAAGAGTGCTAGTGTAGTGTTGTAGAAAGAAAAAAAGATAAAAGAATCTGGAGCTGTGCTGTCCAACATGGCAGCACTGGCCATATGAGGTAGCTAGTTAGAACCGAGATAGGCTATCAGTGTAAAAACATGCTGGGTGTTGAATATTAAAACAGCGTGTAATATATACCTCAATAATTTTTACATTGATTAAATGTTGAAATGCTAATATTTTGGATGAAATGGGTTAAATAAAACAGATTATTAAAATAAAGTTTATCTATTTCTTTTTACTTTTTAAACATGGCCTAGAAAATTTTAAATTACATATTGCCTCATAATATATAGGTTGATTTTTACATTGATTAAATGTTGAAATGCTAATATTTTGGATGAAATGGGTTAAATAAAACAGATTATTAAAATAAAGTTTATCTATTTCTGTTTACTTTTTAAACATGGCCTAGAAAATTTTAAATTACATATTGCCTCATAATATATAGGTTGAGAATCCCTCATCCAAAATACTTGGGACCAGAAGTGTTTCAGATTTCAAATACTTTGGGATTTTGGAATATCTGCAGATACTTGAACCAGTTAAACATCATGTCAGCACTCGGTTTTGAATTTTGAAGCACTTTGGATTTTCGGATTAGGGAGTCTCAACCTGTATTTCTATTACATAGTGCTGATACAGAGAATCTAAGTTCCATTCCTGTTTTGCCACTGCTTCATTATTATTCTAGAAAAATTACAGCTCCTACTCATTTAGACTCAAAGTTTCAGTTTCTCAACCTGTCTCACACAACAAATATAAATTATCTGAGTGACTATACTATTGCAGACACTATGCAGGGTACTTTTTAAACAATTTATCCCTGCTCTACCATCTATCTCATAGAATTGTTGTAATATACATTCTAAATGTAGGGGCTTATCATCATTACTTTCCAAACAGTAATGACTGACATAAGGAAGCAAATAAACTCTCGCTTAACAAGGACTTCTCTTACATAGAAGGGGTGGAGGGAAGGTATAAAATTTCCTGGTTCCTCCTTCATTTAGGTTAGGAATATAGAGTTACAAACCAAAGCAGAGATTATTTACATTTCAAAAGGCATCTCTGCTATACAGAAAATCCCTCAGCAATTTCCTTTAACACTTCCCCCTAAAATGATCACAGCATAATTATATTTATATAGCCCCGATTTGCATTTGATTTTTCATAAACATAACAAATGTATAAAGTGAAATATACCTGTAGTCCTTGCTTCTTTTTTCAGAATTGTTTTTTATGTCTAACTAAATGCTTTAATATGAAACTCGGGTAGTGCCTCTTGTCTATCAGTGGCACCATATTTCACTGGCACCACCACCATTAACTATATCCCCTTTGCTCATAACTTCTATTGTCTTCAAACAGTTTCTCTCTCCTTCTCTATAATCCATATAAAAACCTGAGTTTTGTTGCCTCTGCAAGGACTTTTTTCATTCCCTCCCCTGCACAAAGTCATACAAACACACACACGCACGTGACAGTTTAATCAGAATAACTACTTCCATTCTGTGAAAGAGAATGCACACTCAGGTGACTGCAGGGCTTCACAGAAAAGAATGAAGTCAGCCATCTGTTTTCTGTTGCTAGCTTTTATTTCAAGGATGATTCGCATTTTAAATAAAAAGAATGTGGTCTGCTAATAAATGTTTATTGATGTACATCAGATGCTGCACTCTAAACGACTGCTCCAGCTCCTCCTACTGAGAGGTTTCTCACTTCACTTTCTCTTCACAACTATCCACGTCTAGGATTTTACCACCTCACACCTGAACTACAGCAACAACTGCCCATCAGGCTGTCTTGAATAGCTCCCACCTGCAATACATACTGCCAAATTAGTCTTCCCAAAATACCAGCTTCATCATGCCATTCTTCTGCCAAAATGTTCTGAAGATTCCTATAGATGAAGTCAAATTTCCTCACTCTGGCATTCACCACACCTGGCCCTGCCTGTGCTTGTCCTTAACACATAACACTGAGTCAAGCTTAGCTTGTCTCTTGTATGGTCTCAACTTTAAGCATCTATTCACATTCCCCACTCCACAAACCAAAATCTCAACCATTCTTTAGTTTTCCCACAGGACACAGCGCCACACTGCTTCAGTCCTTATTAGGCAACACAAAGTATAGGAGAAAAGATTTGACTCCAGAAAGCCAGACAGCACCCTGGTACCAATATTAGCTCTGACAGCTATTTACTATTTACTATTGACCTTGAGCAAATAAACTACCAATAAGCACAGAATCCCTTCTTAAAAATAAGGGTAAGAAATTATCATAGAGTTGTGATGACCAAATGAGATCACGCATATTATCATCACTGCCATTCTAACATTAAGTGCTTTTCATGTACTGTTTTCATGCTTTCCATATATCATCTCACTTAATCCTCATAACAATTCTAAGGTAGGTTCTACTACCTACAGATGAGAAAACTTAGTGCAAGGAGACAGGTGAAAGTGTTTACAGAGCAATGGCTAAATACATTTACGTTAAATTCCTTCCTAGGACACTTACTGTGGACAGCTTTCATTTCTGGCACTAAATAACCAACTCATTCCTGTACATATCTCTTGTCTCTAGAGAAAAGGATTCTGGAAGACATTAATTATCTTACATTTTCTTTGTTATTCTATCATACAACACTCAACTTGAGGAAAGGTATTTTGTTTATTCCCCTCTATTTATGCCAACAAATAGAACAGTATCTGACATACACTAAGAACCCAAATGAAAGCAAGTGAGATGAACTGACTTCACCTAAATAATCAGCACAGTGATGGCTAGACATGTGGCAGACTACTGACTGACTGCCAAAATTAGTTTACTTATCTTCCCGAATACTCAGCTAAATTAGTTCCCAACCTTCCTTGCAGTTAGTTGCAGCCATGGGACTAAAATCCTGTCAAATACTGGTGATTCTTGAACAACATGGGTTTGAACTGCATGGGTCCACTTATATGCAGATTTTTTTCAATAAATATATGTACAATACTGTAAATGTATTTTCTCTTCCTTATGATTTTCTTAACATTTTCTTTTCTGTAGCTTACTTTATTGTAAGAATACAGTATATAATACATATACAAAATATGTGTTAATCGACTGTTTATGTTATCCATAAGGCTTCAACAGTAGGCTACCAGTAGTTAAGTTTACAGGGAGTCAAAAGTTATACTCAGATTTTCAACTATATGGGGGATCAGACCCCTAACCCCTGCACTGTTCAAGTATCAACTATAAACGTAAATGATTTATGCCAATTCCAGGCTGACTCATTAAAACCTCCCAAGCATACTCCTCCAAGATATGGGGGATCAGACCCCTAACCCCTGCACTGTTCAAGTATCAACTATAAATGTAAATGATTTATGCCAATTCCAGGCTGACTCATTAAAACCTCCCAAGCATACTCCTCCAAGCTTTTCCCCTTACCCCCATCATTTGTTAACTAGGAGGGTGACTCCCAAGGTGACCTTGAAAGTCATAGGTTAAAGATGAGAGCACCTGGGTCACAGAATAACTGTCCTACCCCCCACAGTGACCAAACACACCTGACTTGAACTGTTATGTAAGCAACTTGAATGAATTTGAATTGTGTTTGAGCAAATATGTCTATTTATTAACGCTAATAGATTATTCTAATGAATACCAAATAGTAGGTTCTGTTAAATGTTTGAATAAATATTTGTTGAATAAATGGATAGCACATACCAAATATATGGACAGTACTTACTGGCATAGTGGGGTACGTTGGGTGCTGTATGAAAAAGCTTGTGGATTCCATGCCCACAATAGCTCCGAACAACTGAAAACCCATTTGCTTGGGCATGCTTCTGAATAATGTTTCCCAATTCTCTGTATCGAACACCAGGTTTCACTGAAAGGAAAAGAGAAGATTCATGACAAAGAATTATAGCAATTAACAATACTAAGCTATTACTATCTATGTGCCAGTAACCTTTCTAAATGCTCCCTATGCCTTCATGCCTAAACCTACAGATTAGGAAATCGAAGCACAGAGAGGCCATACAACCATTAAATAGCAAAGCTCTGATTCAAATCAAGAGCACCCGTAGTTCCTCCTTTGATGCCAGAAAAGAAGGACACACACAGTATTATGGGGTTGGGGACAGGCACCTTTTGCTTTCTCTGACAATAGAGAATAACACAGAATGGAAAATAAATTTCTCTTCGTATCCTTCCATAGGGTCAAGTGTTCTGTTCTATTAAAGTCAGCAGCAGAGATAAGAGGAAAGTGCCGCAGAAGAAAAAGGAATGTCCAAAAATTAAGTTGACATATCTGAGTGTCAGTCTGGTAAGTTCACAAAAATTACTTCCCCTGGGCTTCTTTACCCCATAAAAATGGTTCTCAAACTATTCACAGTTGCCTCTGCAGAAGGTCCTGGGGGTAGGGTATAGAAAGGTACTTCTGACTACATACTTCCTGCCCTATTTTTTTATGACTTTCCTACTGTTTCAACAAAAAAACAAAAGAAGTGGTTCTCATTGCTATTAAGACTCTCCTAGCACTAAGATCCCAAGAGTTGGCACTGCCAGACTCCTGGGGAATCTAGCCATGGTTCTGGGGGTCCTCTAATTCCCTACAGTCTCCTACTCAGCCTATATGAAATCCAACCTGAGGTCAGGCACAACATATTTTCCCCATCCAATCAAATTTCTGGGTAAACAGCTCAAGGACTCATTTTAATTAACACTTCTACTTGCTCTTAACCATATGTTCCAGCTTGACTTTTCTGGGATGGTCCTGATTTTGAGGACCATGCTGACTCTCACAATGATTTTCTTTCATTCCTATCCAGGCCTTTCTATCAGGCCTGGTGATAGGGAAGGAGACCCATGACAGAATTTTAATCCACGTTGCATGACATACAATAAAGAGAATCCCTGTTTAACAATAATGAGGAAGAGTGACAGGGAAGATTCTTCATTAACTCTCAACCCCAGGGCAACTCTGGGCCCAAGGGTAATATGTACCGACATTTCTGGATGTCACACAGTGGGTGGTGGTATAACTGGCATCTAGTGAGAAGAGACCAGAAATGCTGCTAAGAATCTTACAATGTACAGGACAGGACCCTACAAGAAAGAATTATCTGGCACAAAATGCCATTAATGTGCAGACTGAAAAACCCTACTCTAAACGGTTAATTTCAACAACTTTTCACACTCTCTAGTGCTCTACACCAGGGTGCACAGCAAAATTAGTGGAAAATAAAGGGCAGAAATGACAAATACAAAGGTATTAATAGCACTGAGATCAAGCAACTTTTGCTATTTCCTGGATACTGTTATGAAGACTCTAGTTTCTGGTAGTTTCTTCGCAAGTTCTAGTCATGTGTCTTTGTAAAACAACATCCCAGCTCACTGGTTATTTCAATTAATTCACAGAGAAGCAAAATGGATATAAACATTGAATATATTATCTGGCAGAAACCCTAGAAATTATTTAAAACTGAAGCTTCCACAAATCAGAAACAAAACTAAAACGCTCATCTTGCAATACCACCTAGAGAATTAAGTTTTAAAATAATTGACAGTAAATAATAAGTTAAAAGTTTCACATACTGGTACGCAAAAATACAAGGGGTCTTCAAAAAGTTCATGGAAAGATCTGCACTATCTTTCAATTCTACTTTTCCATTTTGAAATACCCTCATCTATCACTTTCTTCCATTTTCATTCCTCCAACTTTTTAAAATTAACAAAAACTTCATCTCTGATGCACGTTAAAGAATAGACTAAAACAATCAAAATAATAGATCAATGTTATTAGTGATAACCACATGTCTGATTAAGAACTCCGTCCTGGGCTGGCTGGTTAGCTTAGTTGGTTAGAGTGCAGTGTTATAATACCAAGGTCAAGGGTTCAGGTCCCATACCTGCCAGCTGCCAAAAAAAAAGGAATTCTGTCTTGTTCAATACTCTGCTGATGATATATCAGGGTCTTTTGTGGAAGACCAAAGGGGCAGGTGCAGTGCAGATAATACACTGCATTTAAATCCATAATATTTGAATAAAGATCAAATGCTATGGATTTAACTGAAATGTTGTTTGCCCTGATACTGCCCTTTTATTAACAGTCTGTAAACAACTGCAACAAGTTTTTCCTTTCCTTCTCTTATCCCCACAAGATACTGATTAAACAAAAAAGCCTGGATAAGTTGTTTGTGTAGACAAAGACAGACAGCCTAAGGAAAAAATCCTACAGAAATACTCAGATCCCTACCCAATATTACAATAGCAAGAAATCTAGAAACCACCAAAATCTAGTGGGAAATAAGCTATAGAAATTTTGATACTATGGAATTTAATATACAGCTATTAAAAGAATGAGGTAGATCTATATATGCAGGTACATATGCTAATTTGGAGAGTGCTAAGACATTATTAGTTGAAAAATACCAAATTACAGAATATTACAAAATGTATGATTCCATTTAACTTAATTAAGCACAGACACATTTCTGTGTGTGCATTAATGCATAGGGGAGAGAAAAATCCTAAACGTTAACAGTGAATACCTCCAGAGAGAAGAGACTGGAAAACCAAAGTGGACAGGCAAGTGTAAAGGAGGATCACTCATTTTCCTCTCATAATCTTCTTTCTTTCAATTTTTACACTTAGAACATAATACTCATGTAGTTGAAAGAATAAAAAAGTAGAAATAAAAACTGCACCAAAGAACCATCCACACACTCCTCCTCATTTATCAGGCAAAGAAAAGAAAGATAAATCACAGAAGAGACAAAGGATGGTCCATTCCCATCAAGAGATTCCCAAATCATCCTCAAACCCATTGCTACTGAGACCCAAAGCTAACTGATAAAAACTGCACCAAAGAACCATCCACACACTCCTCCTCATTTATCAGGCAAAGAAAAGAAAGATAAATCACAGAAGAGACAAAGGATGGTCCACTCCCATCAAGAGATTCCCAAATCATCCTCAAACCCATTGCTACTGAGACCCAAAGCTAACTGAGGCAGGGCAGAGGCAAAGCTGGCAGGTACAAGGAACGCGCAGTCACGCAGTGCCGAGTCACTTGCAGCCCGTTGACACAGAGCCGTGCCAGGGTGCCCAGCACTGAGGCTGACCTGCATCGATGGCTTGCATCAGGCACTCATAGGTGGTCTGAACTAGTTTCCGTGCTCCCTCATCCACATCTCCAACAAAAAATGTCTCATTCAGGTCCCCGTGATAACCATTTCGATAAAGTGTGATATCCACTGCAAAAGAACGTGCAAATATAAAGACCACACTTTTTTTCATTTCAAAATAGAACTGTTTTTCCAACATGACAGCATCAAGCAGCTTAATGAAAATATAATTTCTACATTCTCAAATTAGACATCACTCTCAAATTACTGCCCAACAGAAACTCCTTGAGTGTAATGCAACTAAACTCACTGGTAAACAGGAATATGGCCATACAGCACAAGCCTGATGGCGGGTTTTATACTCTTACAGTAATTAACCAGTTAGTAACATTAAATCGATGACTTTGCTACATGTTGACAATAAATAAAAAATACAGTCACCCCTCAGTATTCCTGCGGGATTGCTCCCAGGACCTCCCTCGGATACCAAGTCCCTGATATAAAATGGTGTATTACTTGCATATAACCTAGGCACACCCTCCCATATACTTTAAATCATCTCTAGATTACTAATAATACCTAATACAATGTAAATATTATATAAATAGTTGTTATACTGTATTGCTTACAGAATAATTACAACAGAAAAAAGTCTGTACATGTTCAGTACAAACACAATGTCTTTTTTCAAATATTTTCAATCCTCAGTTGGCTGAATCCACAAGTAAGGAACCCACAAATAGAGGGCCAACTGTACTATTTTCATTTATTATCTTTAATGAGTTTCTTCCACCTCCTAAGGAATAACAGAAAAACTTACAGTTGTACACTTATTTTTTAAACTCATTTGCCTTTCACTTATTTGTGAATATTCATCTTTTTCTTTGTCCCCATGTTTAAGAATATAGGTTATTATTACACCAGTATAATACATTAAATGCATGTCTAGAGAGCACATTGAATGAATATTTTTATACCATGAATTTCAATCAACCTACAACACTGCAGTATAGGTGTTTCAGCTCTAGCACAACACAAACATTCCTGAAAACCCTCACACATCGTACATGTAATTTTTATAACAGGGTTTATATGAAAAGCAAAGTTGGCCTCAAAACCTGTAGAACTCTATAAACTAAGATACCCTAACTAAAGCAATAACAACTCTAATAAAAACACTGTCACAGTTAAATCTCCACTATCATTCAGAGCCAGCATCACAATCATTCCATTCTCTGCAGCCTTTAACATTTGGAATCATGTGTCCTAGGTTGATATATAGGTCCTCTTAGATATTTGATTACTAAAGAAACTAATTTGGTCAATATTAAAAATACCATCTAGGGGAGCCTTTTTCATCAATATTTTTTCGTAATCACAAAGAGAAATGTCTTTACAGCATCTTCCTCTACGCTTGCAGCTTCCCAAGACAGCATAACACAAAAGTCCTTAAAGCCACTTTCTCTCAAGAGAGGCACTTCTTCAGAATTTTCAGTTTTTTTCTCAAGGTCTTAGTATATTACTAAGGGTTTCTCTTTATCTGTAAGAAAGCCTGCCCTGGTCTCTTGAAAACCATTAGCGGACTTAAAAAAAAAAATCACACTGGACTCAACATTACCTCCACATTTCATTGACATCTTTCACCTATTTACCAATCATATGTGAGATAATAAGCATTAAAGAAATACATGCTATACCAAATACCTCATATGAGAAGTATCTTAAAAGCAACATGATCAACATCATAAAAAAGGTTCTGGTAGATTTTAGAGTGACTGTTAATTTTAAATAGGAAAAAAACATAAGTATAGGAAGTAAGTCAAGAAAACACAAGTCACTATCAGACTCCCAAAACCTGGTTGTTTCTTTGCTCATGGTGACAAAAATTACACTTACATATTTCTTACCATTAACAATATCGCCTTCCTGCAAAGGCCGTCTGTCTGGAATTCCATGGCAGATGACTTCATTCACTGAAGTACAACAAGACTTTGGGAAATTATAATAATTCAGGGGAGAAGGATAGCAATTTCTTGCAATGCATGCCTACGATAAATTAAAATACAGACAAAAGAATTTAGAATGTACACAAAGAGAAAACTAATCTGCATGCAATGAATCAAATTTTAAAATTTTTTAAATGTGAAAAAAGTTGGGCAGATGCTACTATAAAGAACTGGTTTAATAATTTATTTTAGAAATAGAAGTGGATATTATCTGAAACAGTATACCACAGGGTTTGTGCCAGTCACATCACTGTATGCAAACCAGTTTACTGGTAACTGTGCAAAAGAAAAGAAAATTCGCATATTACAAATATATACAAATGTTACTCTATTAGGATTCTACTTTAGAATCATATTTTTCCTTATTAAAAATATATTAAAGTAAAAAATAAAGTAAATATTAATAACAACTTTTAATGTAATTATAACTTCTTATATAGAAAGAAGCCTATAAAAAAATGAATACTAGTATAATTAAGAAATGGTAAAATACTTCCAGAATCATTTTAACAACTACATTCAGTGGAACAACAAAAGAACTCTTAGAAAATGGTCTGGCTTCCATAACAAGTCTTACTTTACTTGGATGCTTTCACACAGCAGTAATCAAAGCACACATATTTTCTGTTTCCATACTGCCACACAGTCTTCAGGCTAATAATTTTTTAATAGTTGCATAAAATACTATTTGTAGAATATACGATAATTTTGCTAGCAATTCTATATTACTAGAAATCTAAATTAATTTAGTTAAAATCTAATTAATTTTTGTTTTCTTAATTACAAAAAAATCTTACAAGCAGTAACTACATTCCTGTGGCTTTTTCCTTATTTAGGGATATACTTCTATATTTCTCACAGCGGTATAAAAAGTAGTTTAGAGCACACAGACGCAGACTGCATGACTGAAAATGCCAACTCCATCACTTAAAGTTGTGTAACCTTTGGACAACTGCGTTAACCTCTCTCTTCCTCAGTTTCCTTAATATAAAATGGAGATTAGTATCTACCTCAAGAGGTTGTTGGGGAGAGTAAATGAGTTCATGTAAAAAAAAAAAAAAAGCACTTAAAAGAGTACCTGGCCCATAGAAAGCACTCAAAATGCTACTACTGCATACTATATGTCTTACACTAACATATGACACAACACCCCAAAATCAGGATTTATAAAACTCTGAATAAAAAAATTTATAAACATTTTAATAGCTCAAGGTATTGTCAAATCCTTTCAAAAGGGTTGTCCCAATTTACAATAGCATCACCAACCAAAAGAATGCCAAAGTACCAGTTTCATCATCTCTGCACAAGCAATGAATATAAACATCTTTAAAATACTTATAAATTTACTAAGTCTTTAGAATTTGCATTTGACTACCAGAAGAATTTTAATGTTTTCTGTGTGTTTTATTAACTAGTTATCACACTTCTTTCGTGAATAATCTACTCCTATAATGTGTACATTAATCTATTAAAGAGAGTCTTAAGCCTCTCTTTGATGGATAGACAATCTTTATTTAAAAAAGATAACTAGTTTTATTAACTAGTTATCACACTTCTTTCGTGAATAATCTACTCCTATAATGTGTACATTAATCTATTAAAGAGAGTCTTAAGCCTCTCTTTGATGGATAGACAATCTTTATTTAAAAAAGATATCCCTACATCATATTTACTACAAATATTTATCTGGTCTGTTTACTGCCTTGTTACTTTGAATATGAAAGGCAACATTTGTTTCTCCTAATCTAGCTTCAGAAGTTATATTCCTTTTTTTATTTCAGAATATTTGAGGTACAAGGGTATTTTTTTAAAGTTCATAGAAAGATTTGTATTATGTTTCAATTCTATTTTTCCACAAACTTTTTGGAGTACCCTCATATGTACTGGCATGATTTATTTAAAGCACTGATAAAATTAATCATTTTATAAAAGCCCAACTGAAATGCTTATGAAATGTGAGATTTCAGAAACAAGATATTTCAAGCTCATCTCAGACCTCAATATCACAGATACCTGAAGATGGGAATAATGACTACTGAATGTTTTCCATATTTGAAACAAGCAAAAATTTGTTTTCAAATTAGCTTTACCAAGTTACTTTACACATTCAGAACTTGTCATCTTATTTTTTTGCAGTCTAAAACATCTAATAATGTAAAAGTGTTTTCCAAACTAAAAAAAAATAAAGTTCTTACTAAATGTACAGCATGATCTATTTCTTCAGTAGTAACACCTGGTTTAACCATCCCAGCAGCAATATCCAAAACTTCTCTAGCAAGCTGTAAAAGAGGAACACTTAATATATTCAAAAAGAAATGAAATAAAATAGAACTCTGTACCCTTTGAACTGTCTTAGATTTTGCAAAAGATTGGTAAAATGAATCTCCCCTTAAACATTATAATTTTACATAAATATGTAATATATAATATTTACTATAAGATATGAAAATATATAAATAAATGAACATTATATAAAAATTGGACTAAATAGCAAATAGCTTAATAAGCTCCACTGATTTCTACGTGAAAATGTACATCCTAAGTCACCTACGCAATAACCAACTGATGGGGGTCGAGTCTTTTCACATTTCTACAATGGCGAAAGGTGGAGGAAAATAAGATAATAGACAAATGAATTTCCTCAAAGAATCATACCAAATAAGTGACAGGAATATAAATTTTCCCAGATTATCAAAGAAAATTAGCATCAAATCACTTTTAAAGCACTGCATAAAAACCTAAGGATCACATCTAAACGAACAGTTATCAATCATTTTTATTTAGAAAAATATTAATATGTTATTTCACCTGGTAAGTACCAGCTACTACTACTACCATATTTCATAGGTATTTCACAAAAGGACCTTTAGTCTAACTAATGAGTCTTAAACTTTGTCCTATGTTATGACAATTTGTGAAAAAAAAAAAAATCATAAAAACCTGGGACTTTAAAAAATTCCAAAAGGTAGAAGAAATAGACTGTCAAATATAGACAACCAGCCATGCTAACTTCCAAACAGGCTTTTTAAGTACAAAACGACTGTTGCATAAAAGCATATAATAATAATAGTTCAATGAAAAGTAAATATGGCTAGTCATAGCCTTACAATGTAACATTTGATACCTTTACAAGTTAGTAAACTATTGACTTCATTTCTAAGTACTGTTTAAACATGTCCTACCCCACAGGAAAAAAATTACTCTTACCCTACATACAAGTCGCATCCCTTCTATATCTTCAGATGAGAGTAATTTAATTTGAGAAGTACCTTTAAGAGCCTGTTCAGATTCAGACATTCCTGCAATGAAAAATCAGTACGTAAAACCAAAATGAATGAAAAGATGCAGTATTTATTAGCATAAATATATCCCTAATGACATAATAATAGTCGAGGTTTTTCATAATTTGGGAGGGTCTAGGTTAGACTTAAAAAAAAAAATTTTCAACATGAAAAATATTTGCTAAATTGAAGAAAATTCTACAGAAGAAATTTTCAGATCTATTAGAAATCAGCCAATATTTATGAAGTACTTCTTACACGTCAGGCAGTGTGCTAATAAGCTCAATAAATAATTCACATTTGAATAGTACCATACAATTCATAAATTGGTTTCATGATCATCATCTCATAAAATAACTATATACTCACAAGTGATAAATCAATTACACTATTTTTTGAAACAGGAACTAAGTCAATTTTTTTCAAACTGTAGTACCTGACCTTTTAAGTGGGCTACTACTAACATTCCTTAAAAAGTAAATACATGGAATAGAAAATATTAGATCGTATTATATAGAGAAGGGATAAGTGCTGCTGTGAAATGTTTAATTATTAATTTAAACACAGAGCCATACATACATCATGTAATAAAGCTCATTTTTCACTCTACGTAATAGTCAAAAAACTTTGAAAAATACTGCCCTAAGAATCACCAGTAATAAAATTAGTTAGTTTAATTCAAGTTTTACATACCTTTAAAATAAAGCCAGTATAGCAATTACTTAAAAATCTGATAATAATATTATAAATCATCAACTAATCTTGTTCATAAGTACTGATAGAAAAATTCCAAGTAAAATATTACCAAACAAAATCCAAAAAACACGATACTCGTATACCATGACTTAAAGTGAGATTCATACCAGAAGGTAGAGATAGTTCCAATAGATAGTTCAATCACATGAATAGCAAATCTATTCATCTAATTCATCATAGTCAGAGATTAAGAAAGGAAAAATAAATAAACGATCACCTAGAAAGAGGACAATTTTGATAACATGAACAGCTACCACCTTAACATGATAAATATAAATCTCAAGCCAAGAACTAACATCACAGAAAGCTCACTATCAGCACTATTATTTAGCACTGTTCTGGCAATACTAGCAGATACAATTAAACAAGCGAATGAAATGGATGAATAAAATTAGAAAAAAAAAAAAAAAGACAAAATCTTTATCAGTTTAAGATATAATTATATATCCCTAGAACAAGAGAATCATCTGGTATGACCATAAATAAGAATTCAGCAAGTTGGCAGATTATAAGGTAAGTATATCAAAATCAGTAATTTTCCCATATACAGACAATGAGCTAAAGAACACAGCAGAAGATACAATCCACAAAAAATAACTAAAAAGATAAAGTACCCAGGAATAAACTTAACAATAAAAGACCTACACAAAGAAAATCTGAAAACACCATTGAAAGACATAAAAGGAGACTTAAGTAAAAATAGAAAAACATACCCTCTTCTTGGATAGGAAGACTCAATACTGTAAAGGTGTCAATTCTTCCAAAATTAATCTATAAATTTAATACTATCCCAATAAAAAATGTGAACAGGATATTTTTGGGAACCAGACAAGCTGATTCTAAATGTCACATGGAAAAACAAACATGCAAGAATAGCCAGGAAAATTCTGAAAAAGAGGAAAGGTAGGGGCAGCAAGGTCTACCAAATATTAAAACATTATATAACTATAATAATGAAAAGTTTGGCAATGGCACATAATTAGACAAATGGGTTAATGAAACAGAACAGATCCAAAAATAGACCCAAAGACATGTTAAGAATGTAATATAATGATATAGGATGCATTTCAAATCAGTAAGAAAAAGACTGTTTTTTAAAAACTGGTGATGTAACAACCAAGCATTTTTCTGAGAAAAAAATAAAGTTGCATCCCTATTTAATTCCTAATACTAAACCAGTTTCAGATAAGATCAAACATTTTTATCGCATACACAAAATGACTTAAACCACAAAATACTGCCAGAAAACATGGAAAAATAGTTTTGCAACCTCTGAATCAAAAAGGTCTTTCTAGGTAATAAAGCCAAACACACCTTAAAAAAGAAAATTGATAAATGTTACTACATAAGAACATTGAAAGTGTGTTATAAATGTAATGACAACATATAAACGGTCAACTGGGAAAAAAACACTTTACGCATACTTTAAAGGATTATTTCCTTTAATATAGAAAGAACACTTTAAAATCAATATGGAAAAAACTTTTAAATCAATAGGGAAAAAAAAGGCTAAGGATATGAATAGACAGTTCAAAAAGAAGGAATATACAAATGACTTTTAACATATGAAAAGATGCTGAATTTTATTCATAAGTTAAAAGTGCAAATTTTAAAGAGGGAACCACTATTACATCTAAAAGCAGTAACAGCAAAACACCATTTTTTGTCTTTCAGATTAGCAAAGATCATAAAGCTTGATAACACACTATGCCAGGGAAGACACAAGAGAAAAGGGACTCCCACGTTTTTAACGGGAGTAACAATTGACAAAAATCTCTGAAATCTACAATACCTCTCAAAATCAAAAATGTATGTATCCACCTATTTTACTTTCAGCAATTAATCTACAGAAATGGTTTCACATATGGACAAAGATGTAAATACAAGAATTACTGCAGTCAAATTGATAGAAGCAAAAACCTGGAAATGATCTAAATATCCATTAGTAGGAGCCTGGTTTAATAAATTATGATACATCCACACAATACTTCAGTCACTAAAAAGAAAGACGTGGCTTTATATGGGCTTATATAGAATATTTCCAAGATATATTAATAGAATACAAAGTGAAAAGGTATATATAGTTTGTTCTTTTTGAGTATAAATGGGAAGGGGACACGTAATGTGTTTACACACACAGACTATCCCTGGAAAGTTCTGCAAGAAACTGGTAATAATGGTTACCGCTAAGGATTAGGACTTACTTTTCACTGTATAACATTTTTTCTATTAGAATTTACCTTGTCTATATGTGGGAGTCTTCAGAAAGTTCATGGAAGGATTCATATTATCTTTTAATTCCATTTTTCCATGAACTCTTTGAAGCACCCTTGTACATTAGTAATTATATTCAAGAATATTAAATAGAGAACAATGAAATTATATGTCCTCAACAGTATTCTATCATTCAGACTGCCTTTTCCTTAAATTATCTGAAATAGTGGACTTAAAGTTAAAAATTATATTCTAAGAACTTAATATGGTTCCCCACTTCCTAGATAACACAAGCTTATTAGCTTAGGTAGCTTAGCAAAGGAGGCTTAGCTTATAGATTAAACCACCACGGTTGAGGATATTTAACCATTTTTGACACACAAAATCAGTAATTTCACATAGTCCAATTTAAATTATGTGTACGGGCCATAAGGTCAGAGACTGCTCCACTGACCTGTGTAGCAAATCTCAGTGTCTCACTATCCTTACCTATAAAATGCAGAAGACAACAGAACCTACCTCAGGAGTGTTGTGTTATATAGAGTAACGTGCAAAGAACCTAACACCGTGCCTGATCCATAGTTAAGCAAAAATAAATACCAGTTACCATTATAGAATCATCACTCTCATGATTACTACCATTATCACCATCATTGCTACTATTTCCATTACTGTTACAGTCCAAAGTCTTTAGCCAGGCATTCACTCAAGCCTGCACAATCTGCTTTCACCTAAATAGATACTGTTGTTAGGAGGACATGTTATAATCAAAACTGTTTTTCTAAGTCGAGAAGTTGATATAACAACACAAAATACAGTATAATTTTGAATGTAGTCTTTAACTGTTACATAAACAATTTTTTTCAAAACTGGGTAGATTTCTAATGACAGAAAAGAATCTTTAATTCTTTTAAATGTTCTCAGGTGGCTTGAGAAAAAAAAAGAAAGTTTTTACATTTATTAGAAGTCCAGCACTTAAAAATTTCTATAAGACAAGCACTCCTTACCTATGCAGTAGTCATCAAGCCCACAAATTGAAAAATGAAGAATCAGGGCCGGCCCGGTGGCGCACTGGATAAGTGCGCCGCTTGGGAAGCGCGGCGGCGCTCCCGCCCGAGGGTTCGGATCCCACATACAGACTGGTTCCCACTCACTGGCTGAGTGAGGCGCGGGGGCAACGCCGAGGGTTGCAATCCCGTTGCCGGTCCCCGGTCCGGTGCGGGGGCAACACTGAGGGTTGCGATCCGTTGCCGGACACGGAAAAAGACAAAAGGCAAAAAAAAAAAAAAAGAAAGAAAGAAAAATGAAGAATCAGCATAGCAGAAAAACTTACCTAAAGGATGATCAGCATAATCTGGTCTTTGAATATAACTCGGCACTGGTCTTGTTGGCATCTAAAACCATCAAAGAAGTTAGTTAAAACCAATTTACTAACAATAAAGATAAAACCAGTGGGGGGAAAACTAAAGAAAAAGTTCATTCAAAAGTTTTTAAATGAAAAAAATTTTAAATGACATCCTAAATATCATATTTCATTAAGATTAAGTTTTACTTTACTAGTGTTAATACCACCCCTTTCTTAGGATATTTAAGAGTGGAAAATGGTGGCCAAGGCCATTAAGGATTTAAGATTAGATACAGACCACATGGTGCCTGTGTTGTTCCAAAAAAATTGGCTAGTTAACAATAACAATAAAATAATGTCTCTAAGTAAATACACACCAACATGTTCCTAAGTCACTATTCTCTGGGGAATAGGATTAAAGAGATTTACTTATGTTGTTTATATTTTTCCAAATTTTTTAAATTAAAGATGTATTCCATCTATAAAAAGAAAATCATCAGTGAAGAGAATTTAAATATTTAAGGATGACGAACAGATTTCAATTTAAGTGAATTCCTATGTTAAATTTCTGATTCCTATATGCCAAGAACACATAAGGGTTATGAATGGCAGAAAAGCCATATCTAAATTAAGGTAGAAAGATATGTTTAAAAAAATGGTGGTCATGGGCATGGTTCTGAGGGCTGTAAAAGGAGAATGCAAGAGGAGCTGCTTCTCTCTCTGCTCCTCCATTTTCACAATATGATATTCTGCCGTCACTGTTGCCACCACCAAGCCCTTCACCAAATGTGTTCCCTGGACTTTGGACTTCCTAGCCTCTGAAATTATTCCATACTGGTTTCCACTGTGGGGACAGAACTGTACACAGTATACACATCTTCATGCCCCAGCACATCAGGACGATACTGTACTACTTTGAAATTGTACAATGAATGACCAAGATGTGACCAGGGTCAAGAGGTTCCTTGGGGAAGACCAACCCTACGAAGTTGGAATGAGACCTCATCAGATGTCATAAGAAACTCTACTAGATGTCAACATAACCAATCTTATAAAGACTAAAATTCATGAATAGAACAGAAAAATCATCCTGACTCATGTCTTATGTTCTTTACCTTTCATTTTAAAAGAGGCTCTGATATAGCAGTTTTTGTCAATTTTAACACTGTAGTCATTTGTACTTTAATATCAGTATTTTCTAAACCTCTGTGACCATTTCACTATTACCCCGTGAAAGCTTTTTTTAAGGTAACTTTCAATACATTTTAATTGCCTTCTATTTTTAAAACCCAATCTAACCCAGTTAGGCTTTACTGTTCTTGCTATTGTATGGCATATACATCTGCCTGGATGTACTTTTACTCTTGACCAAAGTTTTGTAAGAAACAGCACAAGTTTGGGACAGGGAGTTGGAAAGGGAGGATATTGTATTGAGAACTACTTATAAAAGAATTATCTGTAAGCTTGAACTCAGGAGTACAGTTTTAGCTAGCTATACTCTAATAGATTTTGCTCTAAAACTGTTTCTTAACAATGAAAAAGATCTTGCTAAAGTCAAAATAAGGAAAACTTAACCCTTTAAAAAATTTTTTCAGATTTTATTATTTTTTAATTAATTATTTTTCTTTACATTCTAAGATGTCATGGAGCAGTTGGGAGAGGGAGGAAGAGGGAGAAGGGACAAGGGAGGGAGATAGAGTGAAAAGAGGGAGGAGGAGGGAAGGGACACATGGTCAAGGCCTGTGGCACCCCCCTCATTCTGGCACGGGAGCCAAGGTGGCTCCTGGTGGCGGCAGCTCAGTGGTTCGTGGCTGGGCTGGATGCATACTTTGGGGGGACATGGCTAAGGCCCTCAGCCCCACCCCCACCCCAGTAGCCCAGGGCACTTCTGTTGGCAGCTCAGTGGTTGTCACTGACCTGGGTGCGGATATCAGGGGACATGACTGAGGCCTTTGGGCCCCTACTGCCCCAGCTCGGGAGCCTGGAGTGATTCCAACAGCGGTTAGGTGGTCATCACTAGACTGGACACAGACATCAGGGGCATGGCTGAGGCCCTCAGCCCTACCCCCACCTCAACATGAGACCCTGGGGGGCTTCTGGTCCTTCTATGATTTTACAGGTGTTCTTCGGTGATGTTAGACCTTTACTGGTTAATATGAGAACTCTGTCTCTGATCTGTGGGTTTTTTGTTTTTTTCTTTCAGCTCTGTGTCAGATTATTCACTGTTCCCACCACTTAAAGTCTGTACTGGGACTAACTTGTTCTCCTTTGGTTACTTCTAAAATCGGGGAACTTCCTGTGGGAACCAGCACTTGAGCCCTGCAGTTGAGTTAAATTGCTGATTTGCTGCTGATTCTCTGAAGAAGGCTTTTTGTGCAGCTCAGGTTTTAATTATTGACCTTGTAAGCACTTCCAGGTCTTGTAAGATACAGTACACCCAGGTTGTGTGGAAACTCTGGTCGGGGCCTGAGTCTTTTCAGCAAACTGCACCCCCTGCAGTTCTATATTCCTGACCAGTCTCCACTGAGTGGTCCTGGGCTGACTGGAGGACAGATCAGCTGTCCATGCTGTGCTCCAGTGTTCCCCTGTTGATCCAATCTCCCCCACCCCCTTCACTCCAAACACTTCCCCTGGGATAGGCCATGCACCAGTCCCTTGCAATGACTCACTGGCCTCTTAGTGGCTCCTTTTCTCAGCTGTCTGTGGCCCCTTGCTCCTATACTATATGGATCCATGGGAACCAGTGGTCTAACTGGCCTGGGGCCACCAAGCCCCTCTTCTCCCTTGCAGCCTCCAGGCAACTTCACATGAAGGCCACAGCAGCAGCTTTTGCCACCTCTTGTTCCATGGGCTCAGCAGGGCCAGCCTTGCAGTGATCAGGGCTCAAAAAGGTCACAGAGGTCCTTTCTTCCTTTCACCGTGGCTTCTCCCAACTTCATGAACTCCATAGGTCTCTCTTCCTCTTCCCCTGAGCTCTGGAGGCCCCAGCTTGGAATTTTTTGCTTTTTAATAGTTGTAAATTGATTGAATGTGGGAGTGGGTGATGCTGTGTACTTTCCTGATCGGATGTCAAATATTTAATTCTTATGTAGACTTATTTCCAGAAAACTTTGGTGATGATTCTTATGACAAAACGTGGTTAAGAGCATTATTATGTAATGCTTATATACCACAGACGTTTTTATAGAAGGTAAATAAGTTTCTTCTGAGGGCCATTATTAACAAAACAGTGTACTTTCGTAAAATTTAGTTTCATGATTGTAATGGATGCTGCAAAAGGATTTGCACATTGCAATAAGATGTGGTGAGATGAACTGTTGTTAAAAACTACAGCAGAAAGTGTAAACTTGGTTGAAATCACTCCTTGTTTTTTTTTTTTAAAGACTTTTATTCCTTAAATGTAAAATGACTACCTAATTTTTGGATGTCAACACATTAAATTCAAAGAGAAAGAAAAAAATATATATATGTTTAAAAAACTTTTTAAAAAGTAGTAATACACACTACTATCATGCCAGCCAGAAAGTATCTATTCCACTTTACCCCATTCTTTTTTAAAATTAACTAGTTTTAATCCTTTCATCTAAAATTTTTCCACTTCTTCCATGATTGCCAATTATCTCTACTAGCTGCCAAATAATGCACCATAAGAGTAAAAGAGCTAGAATGCAAGTTCTTATGCAAACTTAATCTTGATTACATGAGTCACTATTAGAATACAAATTATAACTATCATTTGTAGAAAAGCAAAAATTGGATTAAAAGAATGTTAAATTCGTATTACCTTATTTACTCACCAGTGGATAATGTGGTCTGAGTTTACCAGTATATCGATAACCTGCCCATGGGTCGGTGTTAATGTCACCTTCTACAGTCCAGGAAGACACTTCTCGCTTTGCCTTTTCATCTTCTGAGAGATAGTTGGACAGATGTGAGAGGAAGAGGAGAAGGAGAGAAAGAACTGCTTCAGTGGTCAAGCTATTGACTAGAAGCACACTTTAATTATCTTTTGTTTTAAAACCAAGCCAGATAGCCCAGGCACAAAAATCCAGCAAACTTCCACTCTAACCTAAATAACCAAAGCTACTGTTTTACTGCTATATTCACAACATTTTTAACGCATTTTAGAAGATCTAAGTAAGTGTCTTAGAAGAAAAACCCCTCTCTAGACATATTCCATTTTTATACAATATCAAAAGAAACAATTCATAGAACTGCTTTTATCAAGTAAATGCTAAATACATTCTTTCCATAACGACAATTTATAGGAAGCCTGTTTTAAAATACGAAATGAGCCCTATTAGAACCTTCCCAACTAAGACTAGATGTTATACATGAATTCTGTGCTCTTGCTAAAAGAACAGATCCTAAGTGGTGCCAAAGAAAATGTAAAATCAAAAATGATTTCCCACTTAGCTGATGAATGGCTTTCAAATCAATACTTTGAAGTGCTTTGAAAATTTTACAACAGCAGGAAAAAGGCCAAGATAAGGGAAGAAAACAATCTGTTGAAAGTTACTGAAAACTCACTAGAAAAGTTAGGAAAAGAATTACATAAACACACAATCATGTTCGTTATTAATATACACTGTTGTGTTTACTGAAATGTACCTAGGAATCCTTTTCACACAGAATAGAGCCTCTAATGGTGTCTCATGTCAGCACACTGGGTGCATCTCTTATCCATGAAGTAAAATAAAACTATACCAACCTAAGATTGTAAACAGCAGGAACCCTCCTAGACTAAATACTGACCTATAAACCTCCAAATGCACACAAGTCTTTTACTGATTCCTGTCATGCTAACATAGGTTTTAAAAGTCAAACTTCAAACTAATTTTAGAAGTGTAAGAAAAAAATAAAAATCCCCCCTTAAACAATATATTTAAAATACGAAATGAGAAAGAGCAGATGGATCATAATGTTAAACTAGAGAGGATCTTAAAGACTATCTAGTCTAACTTCCTTATTTTACAGATGAGGAAACTGAGGCAATGTGGTTCATGTGGGCAGAGTAATGCAATAATGCCAGTTCCTGGTCCAGTATTCTCTCTGGAGCATGTGGCCAACTTTGGATTGAAAGGCCTTGTGGTACAAGTGACAAGAATGAAAAAATGTAGTCAATCCATTTGCATTACTTTGAGAAAGAATACATTTATATTATTACATATAAAGTAAAGGAATAGAAGGTTTTACTATATCTTAAATAGCTTTCTCCCCCCCTCTGGAGTTCAAGAAAGCTGCTGTATTAATGTCAATAGGAAAAACTGTTCTCGTCCCAGGGAAAAAAATGGACCCCATTCATCGCCACTAGGTTCAAACAGTATAGAAAATACAGGCCAACTGATGCCTGCTTCAGCTATGAATTGTATCAACTGATTTTATCTGAAAAGTGAACCTCAAGAATAATTTTCTCCTAAAACCTAGGAAGAAAAGCAATCAAAATCAGGCTTTTTGCTTTAACACACTCCTGGGGAGGGAACAGGGAGAAGGGAAAATGTAAAATCTTTCACAGCTTCCTGCTGATCTGCATTCCTACCCTTCCACAATTTACTTTCAATTCAAAGAGAAGTGAAAGCAGACCTCGAACAAATAACATAACCCAAAAGCTATCTAGAAAAGTAAGGTTGAAATATGGCAACCTCTTGTCTAATTTCTAAGTACAATTTACTTATGAAAATTTACACTTGAAAAGTGTAACTAAAAGTTACTTTACATTTTGATCTGAGCCCTAAGTGCTAGGAACATAACAGACACCTAATAACTCTGACTTGAGGTTGGTAGCAAAACTGCATAATATCTGGTCATTTCTAAAAATCTGTGAAAGCACAAGGTAAATAAACACCTATAATCTGTCTTTCAAACATCACAATGCAATAGGCCCAAGAAAGATGCAGGTAGTGTCAAAGAGTACCTGACACATACAAATCTGGCCCAAAGTACACCACATCCAGAATCTAATCTCTTAAACGTTCTATGCAGACTGCCTCCCCCAGGTCAGCTAACAGAAATAACTGCACATATGTAAGCTTTGCCTAGGACAGGATTTTCTGATCAAAATTCTGGCTCAATTCTTCCAGAGGTGATAATTAAATAGTTGTTGAGCACCTACTATGCACTGTACACATGCTAAGCGCTTCATATGAATATGCTTATTTAATTCTCATATCAGACCTATAATTTCAGCATTTTGGAGATGAGACTTAGAATAATCCATGGTCACAAAGCTTGATAGACCAGTTCTGAAGCATTATACAATACTTTCTTTCCGCAATTCAAAAATTAAGCACACTAGTGTGGAGGGGTAAGGGAGTAGAAGAAAAAGTATTATTTTGAATTCTTTTTTTAAATGGGGCTTTTATTTCATATTTTTGGCTATTCAAAAGATACCTGTCAAATTTGTCCACCTTTTACATCAGGAAAATGGGAGACAGAAATGCACTGAATATATCAGTGCTACATTAAAAAGTGTAGAATAATGCAGTCTTGAGATATGAAGTGCTACAACATTTACAGATCAGGCTAAAACTAAATACTATTTAAATGCCCCACTGTGGCAGAAGATACAAGGGTACTTCAAAAAGTTCATGAAAAAAAATAGAATTAAAAGATAATATGAATCTTTCCATGAAGTTTTTTAAATACCTTCATACAGTATAGGAAATATGCACCCAAGCACAAGGATTATAGGCTTTTAAATAAGAGCTTTATTATCTGACTGCTCTTCTTTACTATGATACATAAAAATTAAATTCTACCCTCGAGTCATTTATTTAATTCACACTTGAAAATTTCCTGATGCCTGCACAAAAATTTAAGCTTCTGAAATCAAAACACTAGATCCAGATGTTTCACTGCTCAATTTTACCAAACATTTAAGGGAGAAATAATACCAATCCTACATAATCTTGTCCAGAAAATAGAAGAGGAGAAAGTACTTCCCATTTTATGAGACCAGAATTGCTCCAATACCAAAACCTGTCAAAGACATTAAAAGCAAATTATAGACCAATATCCCACATAAACACAGATGTAAATCAGGCATTTTTAATCAGAAATCTGTACACACTACACATAATTTTAGAAAGGCCTGCATATTTCATCTTCATGACAAGAACTGCTTGCTAAATGTTATCTCACTATTGTTTCACAGAATAAAGTGCTATCTTTTAAAATGCACTGGTTCCTTCCTAGTCCAACACACTTTTTCCCTAATGCTTTTTCCAATATTCTTCTTAGCTCTACAGATCACCCTTCCCCATATCATTCCCTCCTCCAGGACTTTCACCCACAAAAATGTACTTGGGGTCAACTTATTAGAGTGTGAAAGAGACAGTCTGGCCAACTGAGTACTATCTCTATCCAACACAGCCCAAAGGGATTAAGAATATTAGGTAGGCTCATCCACTGAAGAAAATCATCCCAAAAGACCCAAGAGTGCACCATCTAAAAGATGGCACCATCCTAAACACTAGAGGTATAAGTACCTCTAGTATCCAAATAGCTTAAGTCCAGTGCTGTAATAATCATGTTCTTTTTACAGAGGGAACACCTGCTTGTAATGCAGGTTAAAATGGAATAGCTCTGCCCTTAGAAATCCAGTACTAGGCTGCGCAGTTTGATTGGCCTGCGTAGCCCTGGCTGCCAGAAATAAACTCTTTTCCTTTCCCTATCACTTGGTTCTCATGGGCAAATTCCTTTTACCCATCGGACATTGGCCATAATATTTGGGGGCTCGTCCAGGATCCCTTAAGCCTCTCGAGAACCGTCCTTTTGGCTGTGGGACTTTTTGGATCTCTAGGGGGGAATTCCTGAAAAGATGTTCTTCAGCCCCAGAGAGACAAACCCACGGCAGGCGCCACTGAATTTGGGGATACAGTAATCCAGCAAAAGAGGATTTCAAAGTAATTTTGCCAGGCCACTCGGCACCTGGCCACTGCAGCTGCTGCCCTCAGCACTGGGCCAGGCTGCGCAGCCCCACCACCAGGACCTGAATTTGGGGATACAGTAAACCAGCAAAAGAGGATTTCAAAGTAATTTTGCCAGGCCACTCGGCGCCTGGCCACTGCAGCTGCTGCCCTCAGCACTGGGCCAGGCTGCGCAGCCCCACCACCAGGACTCGGGGTCCGGCGACAGCGGTATCTGCCGGGGAGGGGGTTGTCGTCTCCCCGGCCCCGGGCGCCGCTAGAACCGCGAGCCGAAGAGAGACTGAGCAGGCTGTGGCGCAAACAGGAGCTAGGAGCGCCAGGGACGGCGAGAGGCGGCCGGGGCGGCTCTGGCTGCGGAGGCTCCCGCGGGAGCTCAACACAGGAGCGCAACGTGGGAGCGCAACACGGGAGCTGAGACTCATCAGAGGGAGCGGTGTGAATGCCCCGCCATCTTCCCGGTAGTCAATTTAGGCCTTGCCTGACACTAGTGTCCAACTGAGTACCAACTGAGGTAGCCATACCAAATTGGCAACCCCAACAAAATCTTAGTCAGGCAATAGTGTCAAACCTGTGGACTGTGAAACAACCTGCCACAATGAATAAACATCAAAGAAAGGACACCAGAAACACGAAAAATCAAGAAAGTACACCACCCAAAGATAATAAATCTCAAGCTGTAGATCCTATAGAACAAGAAGCCCTGGAAAAGACTAACAAGGAATTTCGAGTGATAATTCTAAGGAAACTGAATGAGATAAAAGAAAACTCAGGTAGACATCACGATGAAAT